CTAAGAAACTAATGATCCACAAACCACATTCTGGGGTATAGATGAGAAATGAGGGGAAGGTTTAAGCAGGGGAGAGGTTATGCCCCAGGGCATCCCCTCTGACGAGGGCCAGGCTTTTCTATGATAGTTTTGCCACTTTATGAAATTCTATCATTTCCGTCCGCCACTGCTTGGGCCTGTCTCTCACAGGGGCCTGTGCCAGCTGCCCTGTTCAGAGGCGGGCTTTGGGGAAGTGCCTGGATCGGGACGGCTGGCACCTCATCAGTGGCCTCATCAGTGGACCAGTTCATAATGCAACAGGCTACTTCGAGGTGACGGAAACAGAGCGCGACCTAGTTAAGCAGATCCGGTCCTTGGGGGGTGCCCCCTTGAAAGCAAGGTCTTCTTCCTGCCTCTGCTTGCTCCCTTCCTCTCTGCCCACCCCTCTCTGCTTCCAAGTCGCCACAAGGGGGCAGGTCTGCTCCACCACACCCTTCTCCCACGATGCTCTGCTCATCTCAAACTCAGTGCGACTCAGCCAACCACCCGTGGTCCCAAACCTCTGAAACTGTCTGCAAAATAAGTCTTTCCTCCTTTAAGTTGATTTCTCAGGTATTTTATCACAGCAATGGAAAGCTGTCTTAGCACACCATCCATGTGCTCAAGCCAGAAAAACAGGTGCCATCATCTGTACTGAGGACAGGCTTTCTAAAAATTAGATAACACAAGCATAGCCCAAACAATTAATTCAAACAGTACAGAGGATAGTATGAAAAGCAAACATTTTCTCCCTCCCTGTTTTAGCTCTATCACAACAGCTGTATACTTTCCAGATGTCCTAACCAGAAGTACCAATTTTGTGTTATTTTTTAGTTCTTATGGAAACTCCAAATCACATGCATGTGGGTCTACTGTTTCGGATTTAAACATTCAGCGGGGTTTTTTGAAGGAATTTATTCTCACACATCTTCCAGCTTGCCCATCTCTCAGACCCAATCTGTCACCCAGCTGGATCATCCTACTTTCAAATTACTACATCTCAGGTCTCTGCACTTCTCTGGCTCTCCCTTGTCAGCACTCCTGTCTGCGCTCTCCTACTTCCAAGCCTTTACTTCCCCAGAATATTCTCCATACTGACTTCATGTACATGTCCTTAAAATATAAATTAGGACATTCTGGCTCAAAAGTCTTTCCAAAAAACAGCAGTCAAAACTCTTTATGAAGACTGTGCAATTTTGCATGATGGCCCTCGTGTCCCCCTCCCTACACTCGCTTCTAGCCTCTTCATAGCAAACTGTCACACTCCAGGCGCCTGTGGCATCTTTGCGCCCTTGAACTTTCAGCTTTTTCTCTCCTCAGGGCCTTCCCCTGTGTTGTTTCCTCTACCCAGACTGCTTCTCTCTCTCCTGCCTCAGACCCTCTGCCTGGCACACTGAACCCATACTTCTTTCCAGCATCAATTGACTCCAGCATCAACTAACATCTTTCTTTGTCAAAGCTCCTCCCTCCCAGAGCACCAAATGCCAGTTGGCAGCCCTGGTCTTTGTCATAACACTGTTCCTCTCCATTCTACTGCCTGCAATTTGTTATTATATGTTGATTTCCTAAATGTCTGTAAATTCCAATACAGGTAGGGAACACATTTGCTTCAACACTAAATTGTGGGAAAAGTGCCTCCGTGTCTGATCAGACAGTGAGGTGAACAGTTTTGTATCACATGAACAAAGCCAGCCAGTGAGAATCTTAATGGTTTCATCTCCTGCCTTCTTCTTACAAGCAACTTTAGCTCCCTGAAGATTGTCCGCTTTTTTCACACTTATCATTCAAAAGTCTCAACTGTCCATCTCTACCAGGAAAGAAATTTTGGGGTTCACTCATACCTTTCCACTCAGGGTCCCCTTACCATTGCCACTTATTTTATTCTTTTTTCAGGGAACTGACTGCACTTATTTCCAGTGTTGCTTATGTGGGGCCTAGTCTTCCACTGCCTCACAATGACTTGCTTGCTATGGTTAATCAGTGTCATTTATGTTCGTACTTTGTATCAGCCATGATGTCCCAAGTGTGCTGAATTCAAAACCTGATCTTTTGCATCTTAGAGTGCACAGATGGTCCTCTACCTGGTGGCTGCATGAAAGAACGCCTCTCCTGCCACCTTGTTTAGTGTGCCCATTAGGAGACTTTGATTCAGGAGTTTAATCCATTTCTTTTTACTCTGTTTTCCTCCTCAAGGGTTCTGAGTGTGTCACCACCATGCGGGAGGAAGAGTGGGCTACAGATGCGTTCTGACATCAGAGAAAGGGAGTCTCCCGAGTTAGGGACTTATGACACCGCATTAAAGAGGTGAAGACACGGTGGCAAGGGAGGAAGTGGAGTTCACACTCCTTAGGCATCTCCTAGAGTACTTAAAAGGGTGACTTAATCAAGGTTTTGAACACAGGGACTTCTAAAATTAAGTGAAGCAAAGAAGACTGTCTCCTGAAGAAAATTTCAATCATTGACCCACTTTCTCATTGTTCAACTTGTGGATGACTTAGACCCAAACATTAACTGCAGAAGTGTCTTTGGTATCCAAGCAGTTATTCTTTACTTTTGGTTGCCAGCTCTGATCCTGTCCACATATATTTGAGAAATATGTAAAATACTGAATGCTACTACCTAGGTACTTCTTACTTTCTGTCTGCCAAGAAATGTGGGCTATGAAGGTTTTGCAGCCCCACTGAGGCGCATAACCAATCTTCCCCAAGCTGCTTCTGAAAGACAGGGTTCAAAAGTTAAGCCAGTCACAACAGGATCTTTGTAAGCACAGGACCATGCAGGGTGGGTAGACATTTTTAAAATTACTATCTCTGGGTCCAGGGATTTAGCTCAGTGGTTCTGTTGCCTGCCTTGCAAGCGCAAGGACCCAAGTTCGATCCCTGGTACCAAAAAATAAAAAAAAAAATTACTATCTCTTGGGCCGGGGATTTAGCTCAGTGGTTTCGCAGCCTGCTGCGCATGCACAAGGACCCGAGTTCGATCCCCGGTACCAAAAAAAAATTACTATCTCTTTATCTGGAGATAATTCAAACACCTTTAAGATAAACAGAATAGAACGCATCATCTTTATTTGTCAGTGTGGAGACTGAGATAAAAAGAAACTTAAAGACATGTCCATGGGCATCTGACTCAGCAGCTCAAGTCCAGGTTTGGGGCAGGGAACTTGCCTTAAAGGTGGGAATGTTGTGAGGCAACACTATTACTCAATAAATTTTACAAAGGGTGTGTTGGTATGGGGTCAGAGAGAACTTGCAGTGCCTAGTGCAAAATGAAAACTCATAGTTCTTTGTTTGAAAAATTATTAGGACAACAGACAGTGACAGCAGAACATTACATCAAATGCCCTTCTAAGTGCAGGCCCTGAGCCACTCTTACAGATTTGCATTTCTGTAAGGCTGGCCCTACCTGGGATCTCTTGGAGTCTAGAAGGTCAGGGTCTGGACAATGGAAGGCCTGGAACTTCTGAAAGTGTGAGTAGAATTCAGTGCTAGTGTGCATGTGCTTGTTTTTCATGCTCAGTAGCTTTTATCAGATACTCAAAGTGGTCTGTTAACAAAATAAAGTATTAAGAATGCTTCTTGAAGAGTAACATATGTTCCCATGGTGCCCAGGGTGTGAGGATAAAATACGAGACAACCACAGGGCACTGGGCGTGACTCTCCATGAGGCTGCTGGTGCGCGAGTGAGCATGAACATGGGGGATTAACACAAAATCAAGAGATTCTTAGGGCCAACCAGATGTACCAGAAAGACATGTGCTCAAGAATGGAAATTCAAGAGGATGGAAGGCAAATGGTGAGACACTCAAGGCGACCATGTTCTTCACAAACCTCAAAGTGATACCCAGAGCTGAGCTGTTCACCTGACTTTCAGACCCTTAAAGGAAGCTTCCTCATCTTCCTCCGTGGCCAGCTTGCTTTTAACCTCCATTAGGGAACATACAAGCTGTTGTTAATTTTTCTCCATTGTCAGTAAGACTGAATGGATGGTGATTTACATCTAAGTGATTATTACAAACCAATGTTAGAAATCGGAGTAAGGTGGGACTATGTTAATGAAACAGCTGCAGAAGATGCCTTCCTAAATAGCAAAGAGCTAGATTCTTGGAAACAACAGATGAAATGATCCAGCACCTAAGTCTTGGCCAGGAAAACCTCTTGGCTGTCTCTAGAACTCCCACCTCCAATATCTATCCCTAAAGATGAAGCTGCTCAAATGCCAGGTCTTGCAGTTTAGGTAGGTGGCTGCCTTAAATGTTATAAATCTCCAATTCACATAAATGGTGATGTAGCGAGATGGGCTATTAAAACCACAGGCGAATTTCCAAATTCCCATTTGCACAGAGCGTCCAACTCCTCTGCACAGGGCCTCTAAGAAGCAGAAAAGGCCCCTCTGCGTCCCCTGTCACTCTGCCGCACCCCCATGCTCCTGCACACTAAGGTGCCCTGCAGGAGTCCATCAGATTTGCAGATGCAGTGGTCAACTCATCTATGGAAGAAAAATTGTTTTTAATCCCACCGGCCTGGAAAGGTGACCAAGTAAAGAGGCCGGCAGGTGGGATGCATTCTACGGTGTCTAGAACCAGGCTGGACAAGAGCTGCTCCGCACCGCTTGCAGTTGGCCCACAGGAAACCTTACTCACCTGGGGCACAGGCACCTTCCTGCAAGCCGCCGGCTCTCCGCCGTGCCCAGGTGGGCAGGAGAGGCCGAGAACTTCCAACTCCGGCAGACCCCGCCCGGCTCTCCAGCGCCCCGATGGTCTCACACGCGGGAGGGGACCTCGCTCCGCCTCACGTGGCCCGGGTCCGCTCTCTGGGAACAGCCCGGGGAGCAGGAGGCCGCGCCCAGTCCCCAGGCGGGGTCCCAGCTCGGCCGTCACAGCTCCTAGCCCGCGGACCGACCGCCCCCCCATCCCCAGGGCCGCCCCCCTCCCCCCCCCGGCTCCCTGCCACTGGGCTCGTGGGGCGCGCGGCGGCCGGTACCTGCTCCTGCGCGCTCCTGGATCGGGGCTCCGGGGCGGCGAAGGCTCGGCCCGAGGACGCTGCTTGCCTGGCTCCTGAAGCGACGCTATATATCCGGCGGGGAGCAGGGGCGCGGTGCTGGGGAAGCCGCCCTCCTTCCGACCGGCCCCGGCCGGCGCGGGGCGCGAACGCCTCAGCCTCCATGCAGCGCCCGCGCCCGGCGCCCCTTCCTCCCGCTCCAGCTTAGTCGGTGGGTGAGCGGAGCTGGCCGGAAAGGGACCCCTCTCTGGCCGGGAAGAGAACTGGAGCTGGCACCCGGGGAGAGCGTTTGGGGGGGGGGGCGGGCGGAGGGCGCGCTGCTTGCTCGGATCTGAGCGCCGGCAGCTCGGCCCGGCCCACGCGGAGTCCACGCGAGGCCCTCGGCAGGCGAACGCAGGGCAGCACTGAGACTCAGTTTACTTGTTCGGCTCTGGGTGTGAATGGTGAGCCACGTGAGTCGGAGACCAGGGAGCCTCACAGATGCGGGATTCCGGGGACAGCTTGCCGGCCAGCTGTGCTCTGTGGCACTTCTCTGCTTCAAGGGAAGATGTTCCTTTTCTTGGCCTGGTAGCAGGGATCGAACTCGGATCCTTGCATTTGCGAGGCAGGCGGCGGAACCACTGAGCTAAATCCCCGGCCTCAGCCTGGTAGCTTTTATGGAATTTGGTCACTGTTAAATCTTAAACAGAAAAACTGGCGCTGTCAAGGGATGTGGTTGGCAGGCAGGAGTGGAGCCCTGCCCTGTACCAGGAAGCACTTTGAAAATGGCCAAGGCTCATCCTAGTTCCCAGACAATAGGAAAGGTAAGATACACACGTTGTGTCAAGAAAAACGAAACCCGGATGTTATTGTCCTTGTAAGCAGTTCTCATTTTACTTACAGCAATCGTCATGAAATTAAAAGAAAATTTTGATTCATGAAAGTTGGAACTAATGAAAAGAGCGACTTCATTTGTTAGAAAAAATCACACCAACCTTGCCTCCTGTGCTACTGGATTTTCTTTAAACACCTAAGCCCAGTGCAGTCTAAAGACACTGTGGCTGATACCCTCCAGTGACTGAAAACAAGAGAGAAAGACATGGTTAGGACCAAACGCATACACCTTTTGTTACCTTTGTATCCCTCAAGAATAAGTCTGAATATGTCCTCAGAACTTCTAACAGTACTTGAGGGGCTGCTACAAGCTAGTGAGAAGGCATAGATACAGCTGTCACACAGCAGGTGGGAGGTAAATTGTTACAATTCTTAGGAAAGCAATTTAGAGACATATTTCCTGCTTATTGTTCTAGATCTTTTGATAAGGATTTCCATTTCTTACAGTGTCCCCAGAGGAAATGCACAAAATGAGAAATGCCATGTAGGCAGAGTTACATATGAATTTGTTACAGTTATTTATAAAGTAGAAAATTTAAAAACCATACTTTCAGTGGACTGTAATAAAATACATTATTATAAAATGCAAGCCATAATTTAACTATCACCATTTAAAATGATGTTCACATATGTAGGCTGTATTATTTTGCTAGAACTGCCCTAACAAAGTACTGCACACAAACTTAGAGGCTTGAACAAAAGAAATGCATGGCCTCACAGTTTGGCAGCTGGAGGTCTAAGACCAAAGAGCCTGCTGGGCTGGTTCCTCACTAGGCTTTGAGAGGGTACTTGGTTTCCTGATTTTTCTACTCCTACTCCGGGGATTCCTGGCAGTCTTTGGAGCTCCTTGGTTTGTAGCACAAACCCCGGCTCTGCTTCCATCTTCATACTCACTCTCACTGTGCTCTTACCTGTCTGTCCAATTGCCCTCTCTTTATAAGGATACCAGTCATATTGAAGCTGACCCAAATGACCTCATTTTAATTTCACTAATTACATCTGCAACAAATCTATTTCCAAAAACAGGTCACATTCTGGGGCCCTGGGGGTAAGATTTCAACATACAAAAGTCTGGGGAGGAGGAAGCACAACTGAACCCACGACAGATAATGACAAAGAGCCAGTGTGGCAGATTGAATGGAAACTCTGAAACGATGTGCCCTAGTGCCAATCCTAGGAACTCGTGAGTGTGACTTTGTGAATAAGGAGTCTCACTAACACGCTGAAGTTAAAGATCTTGGGATAAAATCCACCTAAGTTATGCAGCTAGATCCTAAAGCCAGTGGCAGTACACTTACAGGAGAAAAACAAAGATCTGAGACACATGCACACTGGAGAAGGTGACCAGTTCAGGTGGAGCCCCAGGACAGCAGAAATGCCAGTAGCTACCAGGAGCTTCTCTCCCACAACCCTGAATGTTGCATGACTTTCACCTTGATTTGAGACTTCTAACCTCCACAATTATGAGAAAACATTTCTGTCGTGGAAGCCATCCAATTTGGGATAATCTGTTATGGTAGTTCTAGGAAATTAATACAAGTAATCTGAGGTAAATTCTATGTGTTTCACTTCATTTGAAGAGATATGTAGTTTAAGACAATTTCAAGTGATCATTTAATAGCTTTCCTAAAATTTTTTAAAATTAATTTTGTTGGTACATTTAAGATATACAATATAATGACATTCATCATTAGAAATTTGCACCTTTACATAATCCATCTTGGTTCTTTTGTTTCCCCATTCCCCTGCCCTCCCTTCAACCCCTCCAATCCTCCCTATCTACAAAGACTTTGTTTCCATTTTTTTATTCTCATATTGATTCTATTCCCTTCTTTCTTTTCCCCTACCACTCCCACTTCCCCTTTCCCTTTGCCCCTTTTCTTGCTATTTCACATTATCTATTATACCTTTTAGTCCTTATTTACACTTTCAGTTACACTAGAGAAACTATTCCATATTTACACGTGTCCTATTTAATTCACTTAAGAGTATTGCCTCAATGTGCATCCATTTAGCTATAAATGTCTCTAGTTTCTCATTCTTTATGGATGAGTAATACTCTATTTTATTAAAAAAACCCACATATTTTCTTTATTCAGTCTCCAGTTGATGGGCAATTGGGTTGCTTCCAAGTTTTA